TGCTCTGCAAATTCTGTCATGGGTTCCTTGGGCTTCAGCTCTGTCTGTACCACCCTCCCTTCCATCCTTATTCACTTGAAAACTTCCTCAAGGATGTAAACCACTCACCTCATTTCCTTTTATCTCTTAGAGATCATGGTCTCTCAATGTCTCTTACCTAACATCTTTTTTTTTTTTTAACATTTTAACATTTTAACATTCCTACCTTTTGCGTCCCTCAGGCCAAGGTTTAAATATGGTTTTTATTATTTCATTTGGGCCGGAAGAAGATATCTTTGCATTGACTATTTTTTTAATGCCAATTCTTTAACATTTTAAAACATTTTTAGTCTTTAATTTACTACTACCTCAGAAGCTTCTATTTCCTACAATCCTTGGTTTAGGAAGTTTTATATGTTCTTACAAACTGGAGATTCTTGTAACTCCCTCATCAATCAAAAAATAGGCAGTTGATTCTTAGCTTTCCCCAATGCTCAGTGAAGTAATTTTGTCATCATTCTTCTTTTGTGAGATGTGAAATCCTTTTCTTTGTCTGTTGAGATCTTGCTCTGAGAACTTCCACAAGTGATTATAAGTGGAAATGTAAGGTTTTTAAAGTTTTAGTTTAACCTATGCCTACTGCCTTACCCTTTGTTCATACTGTTCTGACTTGTATTTATTAAGTATTTTGCTAGCTAATTAGTAGCAGCCTGCTAGCTTCCTCAGCTGTACACTACTAGATTTCTTCCAACTAACTGCCAGGAAAGTGAAAAAAATTACTACTAAACAATGTATGAAAATTCCTTGTTCATCTCTCTTACCTTGTCTATAATCAGAACTTTTTAATTTTTTTCTTCTGAGTGAACTGAGCCTTTGAATGTATTTGTTATTAAAATTCCTGGAGGTAGCCTCCTGGAACAAATGATGCCTCGATGTTCCTTTCTACAGTTCTAAATTTTAATAACCCTTATTCTCCTCCCACTTCCATTTCTAAAAAACAAATAATGGTTAAATTGTAGCTGTGACAGGACTGTCAAGAGTAGTTGTATGGTTGTTTCTCTACTCAGTAAACATGGCGTTTTGTGCTGAACAAGGTGGTGCATGCCTGTGATTATAGCTACTCAGGAGGTAAAGTGAGAGGAACACAAGCTCCAGGCCAGCCTGGGCCACTTGGCAAGACTCTGCCTCAAAATAAAATTTTAAAAAAGGGAGATGGAGCCTACTTGTGGAGCACTTTCTTAGGGTGCATGAGACCCTGGGTTCAAGGCCTTGAAAAGCAAAGTGGTATTTTTCCATGATTATGATATTACAATTACATATCTTTTTTTTTTTTTATCTTTTTATCAGTACCAGGGATCGAACTCACGACCGCCTGCTTGCAAGGCAGGTGCTTATGCCACTGAGCTAAATCCCCAGCCCCTACAATTACATATCTTCTATAGAATAATAGTGTATTTGTATTGGATAGGGTGCTCAAAAGGAACTGATAGACATTTAGGCCACTTCCAAGGTTTAGCTATTATGAACTGTGCTGCTATAATCATAGGAAAAAACTAAAATGTATTATTTATACACACTGGAGTACTACTGTGTCTTAAAGAAAGATAAACTTGTGTCATTTGTAGAAAAATGGATTTACTTTGAGTCCATAAAGTTAAATGAAATAAATCATATATACAAGCTGAGCTATGACATGGTTTCTAAGAGAAATGCACTATATAAAGTGTAAAATAATAGAACTTTCACAAAAGGTAAGGGAATCAAGAGGTGGAGGGAGGGGATGTGGAAGGGAAGGGAAAGTGCTGAAGAAGGAATTATGCCGCGTTCTATACACAGGCCAGTTCCCCACAAGGTATGCAATCATTGTGTACTGCGAAGATGCACTAATTAAAAAAAAACTGAGGAAAAGAACAGAATTGTTAGAATAGATACATAATGCAGAGAAACTCACAAGGGAGATTTAGTAAGGTGATTTGTAGGGTCAAGATAGTGGACAAAAGCCACTTGGACACTGGACAGGCAAAAGATCCAATCAGTTGCTGCTTGGCCTCAGCAGCTAGAAGGTGCAGAACAAGACAGACCAAGGATGCAGCTCCAGTCAAAGCAGGCCTAGGTCCTTAGAGGGTTGCTAGTATGGTCCCCTTTGAAAGAAGAAAGATGCCAGAGACCCACTTCTATAGGTGGCAATAGCAGCGGCAGATCACCTGCTCTGACAGAATCGAGGTTGCAAGGTGGGCTGGCTTCCCTTTCCCTCCCTTCTCACTCCATCTGTGGCACAATGTCCTGGCCCAAATGCCAACTGTCTCCAAAACACTGCCCCAGACTCCCAGAAGTGAGCTTCACCAATCTCCTAGGTGTCATGCAAGCCAATCAAGCTGACAATCAAGACTAACCAACTGAAGACTTTTCCAGGCACCAAAATCAGATTTTGGAAAGGAAAGAAATATGTTCTAGAAGAAATGCCCTTAGTGCTAATTTACAATAGGATACTTTCTTCTAGTTTAAAACATCTCATTATATATATATATATATATATATATATATATATGTCCAATGATTTCTTTGCTATTATGCTTTGATATTTGTAAAATACACTATGATACTTAATAAATAATATTGAGCTCAATTTGAAAGGCTTTAACTGACAAGATATTTTCATAATTTTTAAAATTAATCTCAACATTTGCATTTGCCTATATTTGTACCCTTGCATTTACCCTGCTCCTTCTAATTGTAATAGTCTATAAACATTATACTGTTACAGTGCTAAAGGATACCTGTAACATACAACCTGTAACAGGGAAAGAATAAAGCAAACAGAAAAGAATATGATGAAGTTTTCAAGAAAAACATATCAGTACCTTCTCAACCAGTAGATCCACCGACAAGGAATGTCAACATACAATCCTAAAATTGAGCAGGGCATGGAGTTAAAGTGAGGGGGTTAGTGGCATAATCTTGTTGCTTTCTGTCATCAAACTATTTTGTTTTGCTTTATCCACTTCCTGGTAGGGAAGCTCTGTTGGAGAGAATGATATCCATGGGAAGGTTTAGTGTGAAAACTGGATGTTGTTTTCTCCTCTATTCTTTACCCTGAAAAATAAAGCAAATGAAATCCACTGAAAAAATTGCAGTTTATCAAGTATCTTCTAAAATTTGACTTGGTGTATTTTGACAATATGCATTCCAGACAGATTTATCACAGATTGGTTGCATAATTAGCTTAAAATATGATGATTTTCCAGAGTCATTGGAGACTAAATTGATCCATTTTTAAAATCTGTGTTGCAAACCTGAGTCTCCTTCTGTGATCATTGCAGCTTAAAGAATGCAAGGTAACTGGAAAGTGCTGTTGGTAACCCATTCAGTAAGAGCAGGATGTTTTGATGATGAAGCAACAGCACTCTTGCTAGTCTTTCAACAGAATCCTACCGTCTAACATTGTAAGAATCAAAATTATTCCTTAGTATGGATTTAAGCTACTCTGGTTTTGAGATTGTATTTGGAATGCATTAATTCAGAGCTGCAAAATAGTCTTAAGCCATGACTGTATGTTAATCATCTTATCAGAGCAAACCTTCCTGGTTAAGTAAATTACCTCATTTTGTGGAGATAAAATGATGTTATCTATTTATACTTTTAGATATTTACTTTGAGCCCATTTCCATCTAAAGAAGGTCCAGAGAGTTTACATACTGTGCTTAGTCTGTACACCTTCAAAATCGAAGTACTGAGAAAAGCAAAGCATGTACGTTTTAAAATTATAAATTCAGAGAAATGTGTTTTGATCTCTCAGAATGACTATGCAATAATTCTAACCACAAGAGATGGGCCGTGTAAATTAAAAGACAGAAAGTGCAAAGTCCAAACTGGGATAACTGAATTCAAATCCCTAACAAGTGGCAGGCCATTCATTAACTATATGACTTTAGGAGAGCTACTTTAGGAGAAACCATAATCACTGGATTATGGTTTCTTCAATGTTTACCATATTGGTAATACTAACTATGCTCAAGGAAGGATTAATAATGGGATACCCAGCCAATATTTGAAATATTAGTTCCTTTTTGTACTCCTTCCCCGTGTTTGGGCTAGCCTAGACCTGTTTTTATCCTGTGAGGGAACAGGAAACAGAATGTCTATTCAAAACAAAACAAAACAAACATGTATATGTCTCAACCCAATAAAGACAGCATACGTAACTGATGCAAAAATTTCACAAAATAATATTTAGTGTACTATGTACCAGGCACTTTGAATTATTATTTGCAGTCTCCTATTGAAATGTGAGCACCACGAGGGCAGGAGTGTTAACTAATGGTGTTCAGCACCCATACAATAAAGTTTTTGATGCTAGTTGAAAAAATGAATGCATTGTAAGTATCATATGATGGCCTTAGGATCCTCAAAGCGTTTTGTGTATTTAACCCACAAGTAGAAATTATTTTCATGATTATCATCGTCGTTGATCTTAAATGTGCAGTATGTGTCCACAAAGAGTCTTGTTTTTAATTTTCTTACTTTCTTTTCCTTCAGTATGGGGGAAGTAAAATCAAAAACGATGGTCGTTGTTTTGTGGCTTAAGGTGTGGTAACATGGGAGGGAGGAGATTTCCGGTTCCAGTGAGGATGATAGGTAAAATCTTAAAACGATGTTCATGAAACCCAAAACACAACCACGGCTGCTTGATTCTTGGAGTCCAGGAGGCTTGATGTGGTAGGAAAAAAACCGCATTTTCTTTATTTTCTTGAAAGGTCTCCTGACGCAATCGTGTTTACAGCTGTCCTATCAGAACCCGGGAGAACTTTTGCCCACAGATTCGCAGTCTCTGTTTGCTGCAGTCTGCGGGCTAGCTGAGGAGCGCAGCGAGCTGCGCTGGGGCCAGCAGGGCGCGGCTTTCGCCCCTCACCTGGCCACAGCCGGGTCTCACGCCCGCGCTGCGCACTCCGCCGCGCGCCGCCAGGCCGGGCGACAGGTGGGGCGGCACGGCGCGCTCCTGCAGCCCCAGGAGGAAGCGCCGGACACGCGGCGCGACGCTTTGAGGAGGAGAGCGAGGAGGCGGGCCCGGCTCCCGCGCGGGGGCGCTGTCACCTGTCCGGGGGAGGAGCCACCAAGCCGCTCGTTGGGCGCCGCTCGCAGGCTTCGGAGTCTGGAGCTCGGTTCCCTACCATGAAGGGCGCCAGAGGCATCGATAACCCGGCTTTCGTCCCCTCCAGCCCAGACACCCCGCGCCGCTCGTCCGCCTCACCCTCCCAGGTCGAGGTCTCCCACGCCCCGACCGAAGACGCACAGCCCCCGAAGCCGCCGGAGCCGCCGCCGCCGCCGCCCGCTGAGCCCGAGTCCCTCGCTCCGTCTCAGTTCAAGGAGGGGCCTTTCGGGTGGGGGCGCTTCACCCCGCGTAGCCTGAGGCCCTGCAACACGCCCGCCGGCTTCCTGCTGCACTACTGCGTCCTGGCCGTCACGCAAGGTACCGTCCCGTGCGCCCCGCGCCCTGCGCCCCCTGGGCTGCGGCTTTTGAAACTTACGGGCGGAGCGTTCACTCTTTGTCATCCGCGGTGCCTCGCTAACGTGCGGCGTTCTGCAGGGAAGCTTACGAGAACCTTCCCTCAGAAGCAGCGTGTCCCCGCTCCGCGGTCTGCTTTATGCGAGCATCCCTTGTGTGGTGTCTTTTGTCCAAGTGGTTTTGTAGGTTTTTCCAGCAGAGGGCTGGAGGTGTTTTGCGTGTAAGGATGAGGTGCTTTGAGACGGGGAGTACAAAGACTTCGCGCTCGGTAAGGCGTGCGCACCGGCCGGGCAGCCCCGGCTTCGGGCCTTGCCGGGCGCAACCTCTATCAAGCCCTGGAGTCTCCGGAGTTATCCGGGAGCTGCTGCCGTCAGGCCCGCGGTTCGGTTCTCCGGAGAGACGCGTCCAAGTTTAAACCCTTAGGAGCTGGCGGAGAGACCGGCTCCCTCTAAAGCGGGCACAGAGCGGGCAGCACAGAGCTGCTGGCGCTGCCGGTGCTATGAGGGGTGAAGGAAATGGGAAGGAACACTCAGGTGAGGGAGCTTGGGGGCCGAAGGACACGGGGAAGGGCTCCGAAGGACGTGCTGGGGCTGAGTTTGCATTTGTATGTAGATGTTTTTTTGGCTCATTTGAGTCCTGGTCTCAGAATATTTTGCCTAGCGCAGTCAGGGACTGACTGGAAGAAATGCACCCCAACGAGTATTTTGGGAGGAGGGAGTTAGAAATTGCTCTTGGCTAAGTTAATGGGAAACTAAATCAAAGTGTGTACTTCCCGTTCTTATTTTCATTCCCCTCTCCAAGGAACTCCTGTCCCTGGTTAAATGCTAATTATTTGTTGAAAGTGAGTCTCCTTCTGCTTTTCCACTGAAAATTTGTGCCTGAGTTATTTCCGCTTCCTCGTTTTCCTACCATTATTCATAACTTGACCCTAGAGGTCCAAAATCAGTGATTTTGAAACATCTCAGTGCCAAGGGGTTGCACAGCTCAAAAAGTTGAACAGAAATAAAACTGTTGTTGTCTCATTTTTTACCTAAATTTTCTTTGGAGCAGCTGGGCGTGGTGGTGCTGGCCTGTAGTGCCCAGAGGCCAAGGCAACAGGATCACAAGTTTGAGCCCAGCCCGGGAAGCTTAGCAATCTTAGTGAGACCCAGACTGAAAATAAAACTTCGAAAGGGCTGGGGATATGATTCAATGTGAAGGCCCTGGGCCATAAAATCACCAGTACCATACAAGAAAATAAAACTCTGAACATTTAATATTAAGACTATATTGTTTTATATTTACCATAAGGTATTGTTTAAAATTGTCACCCAATAAAGTTGGCACTCTTGAAAAATGTGTCAGGTTTAGCTTGGAACTGCATCTACCCAGAGGCGATTCAAAAAGCACAGTCTGGGGTGAAAGAGAATTAACGCATGTTCCAGTTTTAAGTTCCACTAACTCTGAAGACATTATTTCTGGGTATCTCAAATATGACTCTCAGGAAGACTCTTTCCATCATATATTAATAGAGCCTTAATTAGGGAGCAAAACAAAACTAGACTGATTTTACTATTTCTAAAAAAAAAAATAGGGTTTACCTTAGTGCTTAATTTCCTAATGTGCTTCCTATTTTCATGCTTTAACAATAGAAGTAGTGAAGTAGTGTGCAGTATTTCATTTTACAAGCAGTGTTCTTGGAATTTGTATAGCTTAGGATTCATTAAAGGATTCATTGGACTTATAGTGCTATCCTTCCAGAGGTATTTGAACTTTTATTTTCAAAGAGAATTTTCACCAGAAAGGCAGTGATTTTTAGTGACTAGTTATTAATCAGTGTGACATAGGTGTTGGGAAGTTGACTTTTGGATGAGGAAATTTTCATAGTGCCTGATAAGTATTTCCTTAGAAAAGTGTTATTCATAGTTACTGTGAATGCTTCATTTTAAATTCTAAGAATTGTTGACTGGCTTATGATTCTGTAACATTGGCATTAAAAGCAAATATTATTTTAGGACTTTTGAAAGTTGCTCTGTCAGTTTTCTTGAAGTTTGTTAAGTACTTCCTTTCTTTATCAGTAAGTGTGTGTAGTACGTAATGTTTAGGTTCCTGATGGGGAAGTTGGTACATGGACGGATAACTCAATCCATTTCTTCATCGCCTTTCCCTTTTTAGTTATAGTCTTGATAAATCAACATTTAAAGGCATTGTAACAGATATACTCCAGTCATTATTAGTGAGAACAACTCTTAGTTGCTCTTAAAAGGTATAACTAGTTAAAATTTAATTACAGTCCTATTATTTTCAATTTGCAGCAAAGTTTAAATGCCTTTACATTTTACTCTGTATCTGGACAGGACAGTTTTGAGTCAATCAAAATTAAATTTTCAGTCTTATCTTCTGTCTTCAGTCTTATCTTAGTCATTTATTATAAGTGTATGAGGTATTAATGTTTTACTTTGCATATGATTTAGAATACTGGTAGTCAAAATAGGAGTCTTAGCTTGTGTTTAGTTTTTTCCTAAAACCTTTTAAATGATAATTCAATATCAAGAAAAACTTTAGGAACAAACTAAAATTTGAGAATTCCAGTTTCTCACTCTAAGATGAATCCAAGTTAAGTTCTTGCTACTGATAGAACATCTGTACTTTTTGTTCTTTCCCTAGAGGGCTCTGTGGAAGTATATACTGCACTTGAAAACTTTAGCAAACTGGTTTTGTGGAACTGTACCAGTTTGACTTTTGTTTGTCATTTAAAGAAAAATGAATTAAGACCAATTAACTATGTAGCAGGCACTAGCATTGTTTATCATCTGAACACTTAAGTGTGAGCAATTTTTTTTTCTTTTTATCGGTACCGGGGATCGAACTCACAACTGCCTGCTTGCAAGGCAGGTGCTTATGCTATTGAGCTAAATCCCCAGCCCTCAGTGTGAACAATTTAAAAAGCAAACTTATTTTCAAACTGGGTTTTCTTGATTTGGAACTTTGGAGACTTAAGACTAGCACACTTAAAAATAGCAAAAGAAATGAACAACAAAACTTGAGAACATTGTGTTAATAAGTATAATCTCTATAATGAAGTTAGAGTAATGCACACACATTTTTTTTTCTTTTAGGTATTGTAGTAAATGGCCTAGTAAATATTAGCATTTCCACTATTGAGAAGCGCTATGAAATAAAGAGCTCCCTGACTGGCCTGATATCATCGAGCTATGATATCTCATTCTGTTTGCTGTCTTTATTTGTATCATTCTATGGTGAAGGAGGACACAAACCAAGATGGTTGGCATTTGCATCCTTTATGATAGGACTGGGAGCACTTGTGTTTTCGTTACCACAATTTTTCAGTGGACAATATCAGCTGGGGTCCATTTTTGAAGGTAAGTTCTGTTATTTTTGTTTGTTTGTTTGTAGTAATGTAAAACCGGTCATTAACTCTCTTGTCCAGGTCCCTGTACAGCAGGGTAAAGTGTAAAGTCTCCTCCGCAGCTCACTGCCTCCCTGGTGATAATGGATTGTATAAGGTAAGTCACTGAAACAGACTATAAATTATTTGTCACTTGAGCATCTCCAAGCTTTTTGATCCTCTGATTCTCATTGCCTATATTACACACAGTCCTCCTTAGAAAGATTTGTTTTCTTTTGCAGGTGTTGTGACCTCATTGGGTTTCCGAGATCTGTGCTTTTTCTCCTTTTGTGATTTTATTAGAAGTGCTAACAGCTCTGTGCCTTGAACACGTTGATTCAGAATTTGAGACAAAGAGAGGTGACATTCATAGGAGCAGGACTTTTCCTAATAATTGAAATCGGCTCTGCTTATGGCTCTAATTTAGTGTATTGCTCTGGTGTGGCTCTGGTTAGATGAAGTACATGATTCAGAGACACAGGAAGGAAATTTAATTATTGTTCAGTTTTGCTCTTCAAGAATTGTTTTACATGGAAAAACAGTTATGGTACAGCCAAAGGAATGTGCTAATGAAAGTACACCTTAACATATTTATGTCCTTTCTGGGACTTATAGCAAACATTGAAAAACTTAGGAATGAAATCTAATGGTTTCAAATTAAAAAGCCTTCATGAGTTAGGTAAGTGAAGAAAAGGCTCAGAGTAAGAGGGAAAGAGAGTGGAAGACAGAACTATAGTTATTATTTTTAAAAGTTAAGATTTTTTACTTCATGTACCAATATTACACGTAATAGTAAATACTTAATTGCTCCTTACACCAATTCCCCAATTATACAGGATTATATTCTCAGTAACAAAGTGTATATTGTGCAGCGTGGTCTTAGGGGTGCATTTATTTGGTAAGGAAACTTTTTTTTTTTGAGACATGGTCTTACTATGTAGTCCAGGCTAACCTTACACTTGCAGTGATCCTCCTACCTGTGAGCTACTATACCCCTCTAGGAAACTTCATTTTGGAAGTAAAAATAGAATAAGCAAGCAGACAGATGAATGGAGAATTCTTTTAGAATGCAGTAGCGTTTGAAATGAAAGGAGAGCTGATACACTTGTGAATAAATGTAATGCTAGCATTCTCAGAGGCTAAGGCAGGGGGATCAAGCCCAGCCTGTTCAGTTGAGCAATTCAGCAAGACTCTAGCTCAAACTTAAAAAGGGCTGAGGATGTAGCTAAGAAAAAAGACCCTGGGTTCAAGCTCCATTATCAAAAACCAACCAACCAAACAAACAAACAAAAACTAAGGAAATGCTACCAGTAGAAGCAGTACTTATATAGGTTCTAGTACATTATCTAAGATTGGACAAGGTCTTGTTATATTATAATGATACATGCTATGTACAACTATGTACAACTGTGTTTACTGCAGAGCAATTCATGACAGCTAAAATCTTGGAAGCAGCCTATATGTCCATCAATAGATGAGTAGATAAAGAAAATGTATTATATACACAGTGAAGTACTACCCTGCAACAAAGAAAAATGTATTTGAGCCATTTGTGGAACAATAGCTGCATCTTGAGACCATAATAATGTTAAATGAAATAAATCAGGCATTTGAATTTATATGAGAACTTGAAGATAGATATTAGAAAATGGGGACATAGATCTTTTGCAAATAGGAAAGGGCTCAAAGATGGCAGGAGGGAGGGGAAAGGGACACAAAAAGAATTAAGATTTATTATGTACATGTATCAACTCCCCACAAAAAATGAAATCATTATGTACTGCAAACATTACTAAAAATAACAAAAGTTTGCATTAGGCATGTTTGACTTAATTTTACTGGAGCCAATTGTGGGAACAAGGCACATTGCATAGTACAGTGCCTTTGAAATGTAAATAATCAAGTACAATCTAATCTGCCACAGTAGAATACACACTGATCCTATGATATGAAAATGCCTTTGTCTTTATTGTGTTTAGGTGGTAATCTTTATGCAGCCTCTAGGCTCACACCCTTCCTGTTCATCACATGCCCTTAAAGTAAAAACAAACTTTGCTCAAAAGTCTCTGAGTTTCTCAATAAAAGGGTAAATTTCTCTTGAAGTGCTAAGCGTGGTGTGATCTTCCCAGTATTATTTCTTGGCATATGCACCTTCATTTATAACCAATCTGAGCAATTTGTATTTCCTGAAAGGTAGTGGCCACGAAGAAATTTGTGAATCCATGCATGTGTGTGCCCCAGAGATAAAGCAATGATTTCTAAAGTCACATCAAAAACTTCCAGAACATTACCAGAACGTAACTGTTCACAGGTTTTCACCAGTTACTTGTTGATCTAGTTGACATTTTTTATTATTTTAGTAGACTGAGTTTGCTAGATGACTGAAATAGAAAAACTCAGTATTATTTTTCAATTTGTACAATAGATATTTATAGTTAATAGACTCTGCATAGTTCTGAGATAATAGTTGAACAGCTCCACACCACCTAGATTTTCTGTACTAATGTTAAGAAATGTACAATTAATAAATAAAACTGAAGACTGAAGTTAGTGGATGGAAGGAACAAATAGAATGAAATCATAGCGTACATATAGGTAAAGAGGTGGGCAGGGAGGGGTACCATAGTAATAAATGGGTAACTAGCAGCCATCCTTCAAAGATGCTTTTCAGTTCAGAGAAGACCTTGATTAAGGCCTTGCCACTGGGAAAGAGTTTCGTGACTTTAGAAGCTGTCACTTTTGGCTAGCATGACCATAGCAAGGGGGAGGAGGTGTCCTGAGATGAACTTGGAGAGGCAGTTAAATGCCATTGAGGCATTTGAGTTTTGCTTGAATTGCAGTATGTACTCATGAAAGAGTTTTCCATAGGAAATTCATAATCTTGTTTGTATGTATTATTTTTTGTAAGACAGGTTTTCTTCACATAGTCTAGGCTGTCCTTGAACTCACTATGTTGCCCAGATTGGCCTTGAACTTGCAGCAACCTTCCTACCTCAGTCTCTCCCAAGTGCTGGGATTACAGGCATGCACCACTTGTTTGTGTTTTAAAATGCCTGGCTCTTATTTGTGTTTTAAAAAAATGACCATTTTGCCTATAATCCCAACACTCAGGAGGCTGAGGCAAGAAGATTGTTGCAAGTTTGAAACCAACCTGGGCTACAAAGTGAGCTTAAGACCAGTCTGAACTGCACAGGGAGACCCTGTCTCAAAAAGACCAAAAAAAAAAAAATTGTGCTTCTATAACTGGGACATGAGAATAAATGGGAGGAAATTACTGAGAAGGTTTTTACCTTCATCCAGGTGAAAGACAATGGTTGTTGAGCCTGGTTGGTGAACAAGAGATTATAGAAGAGAAAGGGGTAAGACTGTCACGGTTGATTTATCATGATCAAGGAATACTGACTTTTTATCTGGATTGACCACCTGGCTGTGTATTACAGTGTGCAAGACTAAGTAGGGTAGAATTGGGAGTAAAAAGCAAGAATTTGGTTTGAATGTAAGTATGAGCTCCATATTATCTACCTGGTTTTGCTGTGTACTTCCTCAAACTTGTTTGCCTAAACTTGTAAATCATTCAAGCTTAATCCCTAGAAATGCAAACATTAGATTCCAAGAGACTTCCTCGTTATAATTGTTCATAGATAACAATGGGCTTTCAGGAACACTATGCCAGTGATTCCTCCACTGTCTTTGTATGGTGGTGCTTTAGAGTGGTTTGGCATTCATTTTTCCTCCCTTAAATTTTTTCTTGGCCAAGTGTGTTTGCACACACCTATAATCCCGTGCTCTGAAAGCTGAGGCAGCAGAATCACTGTGAGTCTGAAGCCAATGTGAGCTAGAAAGTGAGTTCAAGGCAAACCTGGACTACATGATGAGACCTTGTCTCAAAAAACACCAAAAAACAAAAATGAATTTGCTTTTGGAAAATGTCTGTGAAGTGGATACTAGTGACATCAGTGTATAAGTGCCAAATCTGCTGTCTTTTAAATAAAATATTAAATAGGACACTCCCTGGTAAAACTAGGGGTCAGGTCTTCTAAGTTTACCATACAACTGCTTACCAAAAATAAAAGAGGAGAGTATTAGTATTTGCTTTTGGATTTAAGTCAGTATAAGGGCTATGCAAAGTCATCATGAAAGTTTACTGTTTCTCTTGCTCAGTGATTTTAAAGAAATTGTATAGATCCATTGTGGTTTTTTAAAAAAATTTCTTTTCTAAGCTACATTACTATGTCTGCTTAAGGCATGCCTCTCTGTTGCCTCGTACAATATTTCAAATGTGAGGTATTTCTTTAATTATGTACCATTGGAGATGTGACCAAGATCACCAGCTGTCTGTGTGAGGACAAAGAATGAAGAAAAAACAAGCAAATTTAGTAATAGATAAACAAGGGGAATTTTGGAAAGGTCAGTGCCTCAGGGTGGGCGGAGATAGTGACACTGTTTATTGCGTGTGCATAGTAGTCAGAGGGATTATCATATGACTCAGGGGAGTGGTGCCCATAGACTAAGGAGGATTTTGGAGTAATCTTAGTAGTTTTAGTTTTAGTTTTAGCCTTAGTCTTTAGATATAGTCTTAGTATTGGGAGAGGGTGGCCAACCCCTGATGGGATAATAGGAAATCTTTAAAGGGTGATACCAATCGTTCTAAGCCTCTGTTCATTCCTTAGGGAGGTGTGTAAAATAGCCATTGTGAATTTGTGGTCCCCAGCATTTCCCTTTTTTGATTTTTGTGACTGCAGCAGTTGAAACAGCGTATAGGCTGTGATTGCCATCATAGCCACAGACGTTCTCAGGAGTTCGTGGGAGGGCCTGTCACATCACTAGCATGTGAGCCTCCTACATCACCTGCTCTGCTATCCCCATGTCATGGGTTTTGTAACCTGTGAGGATCTAGGTCCTCGTGGTGTTGGTTTTTTCCCAAGGTCATCCTCAAGAATGCTCACACTGGAGGATCAGTGGGAACAGGCGCCA